ATTCTGTTAGTATCTCTCCCAATGTCGTTTGAGAATTTTGTTCAATCGTTCATTGTTGGGAAAGATACTGTGTCATTGGAAGAAGTCAGATCGGCCCTTCATAGCAGGGAATTACGGCATAAGGCTAACGGCACAAGTACGGACATACAGCCTTCCGGTCTGTTCACCAGTAGCGGAAAGGGAAGGAAAAACGGCGGAAAGAAAAATAAGCCGATGTCGAAGGGTGCAAAGCCGGATGATGTTTGTAATTACTGCAAGGAGAAGGGACATTGGAAATTTGATTGTCCGAAGAAGAAGAAGCAATCGGAAAAACAATCAGTGTCTGCTGCTGTTGCTGAAGAAGACACCAATTCTGAAGAAGATATTGCCCTAGTTGCGGATGAGCACACTCATTATTCAGATGTGTGGATTCTTGATTCTGGGGCATCCTATCACATCTGTCCTAGGAGAGAGTGGTTCACGACTTATGAGCAGGTAGACGGAGGCAGCATCTCGATGGCCAACAGTTCTGTCTGCAAGGTGGTTGGGACAGGCTCGATCAAGATAAGGACACATGACGGTAGCTTCTGCACATTGAACGAGGTCAGGCACGTTCCATTGATGACGAAAAATCTGATATCTCTCAGTCTTTTGGACAGCAAGGGATTCAGCTGGTCGGGAAAAGATGGAGTCTTGCGGGTCTGGAAGGGTTCAAATTTGATTCTGAAAGGTGTCATGCGTGGTACTTTGTATTTTCTACAAGGTTCCACGGTTACAGGTTCAGCCCATGTTGCATCGTCAGAATTTCACCAGAAGGATATGACTAAGTTATGGCACATGAGACTTGGTCATATGGGTGAAAGAGGGATGCAAATTCTGTCAAAGGAGGATTTACTTGCTGGTCATAAGGTTAAGAGCCTAGAGTTTTGTGAACATTGTGTTTTTGGAAAACTACATCGCAACAAGTTTCCAAAGGCCATTCATAGAACAAAAGGCACACTTGATTATATCCATTCTGATTGTTGGGGTCCATGCCGTGTTGAGTCTTTGGGAGGCTGCAGATTTTTTGTGTCCATTATTGATGACTACTCAAGGATGACTTGGGTGTACATGATGAAGCATAAAAGTGAAGCCTTCCAGAAGTTCAAGGAGTGGAAAATTTTGATGGAAAGTCAAACAGGGAAGAAGATCAAGAGGTTGCGAACTGATAATGGGCTGGAATTCTGTTGGTCTGAATTTGATCAATTCTGTAAGGATGAAGGGATTGCTCGACATCGTACAGTCAGAAATACACCACAGCAGAACGGTGTAGCTGAGCAGATGAATCAAACACTTCTGGAGAGAGCAAGGTGCATGCTCTCTAATGCTGGGCTAGATAGAAGATTCTGGGCAGAAGCGGTTAGTACAGCTTGCTACTTGATTAACCGCGGACCACATACAGGCATACAGTGCAAGACACCTATGGAGATGTGGTCAGGAAAAGCTGCTGATTATTCAAATCTGAAAGCTTTTGGTTGTACGGCTTACTATCACGTCAATGAAGGTAAGTTAGAACCAAGAGCTAAAAAGGGAGTATTTGTGGGCTACGGAGATGGAGTGAAAGGTTTCAGAATCTGGTCTCCAGCAGAAAAGAGGGTTATTATGAGCAGGAACGTTGTCTTTGATGAAAGTTCTCTGCTTAGAACCATTGTGAAGCCTACAACTACGTCAGAAACTGGGAGTCTTGACAAACAGGTGGAGTTTCAAGTCATTCAGAACGAGAGCGATTTAAAGGAACCTGAAGAGGAGGATCAAGAGCCACAGAAAGAAACTGATATTCCAGAATCTATGCCATCAGATATCCATCAGAGTATAGCTCAAGATCGGCCAAGGAGGGTTGGAGTTCGGCCACCTACGAGGTATGGTTTTGAGGACATGGTGGGTTATGCACTGCAGGTTGCTGAAGAGGTAGATACATCTGAGCCGTCTACTTACAAAGAAGCCATTTTAAGTTCTGATTCTGAAAAATGGTTTGCCGGTATGGGAGATGAGATGGAGTCCCTACACAAGAATCAGACATGGGATCTGGTCATACAGCCTTCGGGGAGAAAGATTATTACTTGCAAATGGGTTTTCAAGAAGAAGGAAGGGATATCACCAGCAGAAGGAGTCAAGATCATGAATGCTAGGCTGTGCATAGGTTTCAACCAAAGAGAGGGAGTGGACTACAATGAGATCTTCTCACCAGTGGTCAGACATACTTCCATCCGAGTGTTACTAGCGATAGTTGCACATCAGAATCTGGAGCTTGAACAACTTGATGTGAAGACAGCGTTTCTACATGGAGAGTTGGAGGAAGAGATATACATGACTCAACCGGATGGTTTCCAAGTTCCAGGGAAGGAAAATCACGTCTGCAAGTTGAAGAAGTCCTTATATGGACTTAAGCAGTCTCCAAGGCAGTGGTATAAAAGGTTTGACAGCTATATGGTGAAGTTGGGCTATACTCGGAGCTCATATGATTGTTGTGTCTACTACAATAGGCTCAATGATGATTTATTCATCTATCTGGTGCTTTATGTAGATGATATGTTGATAGCTGCAAAGAAGAAGTATGACATTCAGAAGCTGAAGGGTTTACTTAGTGCTGAGTTTGAGATGAAGGATTTGGGAGCCGCTTGGAAGATTTTAGGGATGGAGATCATTAGAGACAGAGAGAGAAGGAAACTTTTCTTGTCACAGAGAAGCTACATTCAGAAGGTCTTGGCGAGGTTTGGCATGTCTTCATCTAAGCCCATTGATACCCCCAGTGCTGCCAATATCCATCTCACTGCCATGTTCGCTCCACAGTCAGAAGAAGAGAAGGAGTATATGTCACGAGTCCCTTATGTCAGTGCCGTAGGAAGTTTGATGTATGCTATGGTCTGTACAAGGCCAGATTTAGCACATGCAGTCAGTGTAGTGAGCAGATTCATGGGACAACCAGGGAGAGAACATTGGCAGGCTGTGAAGAGAATTTTCCGGTACCTTAGAGGTACATCTGACGTTGGTCTCATTTATGGAGGTGATACTCAGTGCTTAGTTACTGGCTATTCTGATTCAGACTATGCTGGAGATGTTGACACAAGAAGATCGATGACTGGCTATGTGTTTACCCTTGGAGGATCTGTCGTCAGTTGGAAGGCAACTTTGCAACCTACAGTGACTTTGTCTACTACGGAAGCGGAGTACATGGCCTTGACAGAGGCTGCAAAAGAAGGGATTTGGTTGAAAGGGCTGGTTAGTGATCTTGGTCTGCATCATGATCAGGCTACGGTGTATTGTGACAGTTTGAGCGCAATTTGTCTAGCCAAGGATCAAGTCCATCATGAGAGAACCAAGCATATCGACGTAAGGTATCATTTTCTGAGAAGTGAGAAGAGAATCAAGGTGAAGAAAGTAGGAACTGCTGATAATCCTGCTGATATGTTCACAAAGCCGGTTCCACAGAGCAAGTTTCAACACTGTTTAGACTTGCTCAACATCAGAAGCTGTTAATTGCCCTGCGGGGCAACTCTGAGGAAGAGGGGGAGGCCTGGCACTATCATAGTGCGTCTGAAGAATCTGTTCGGAGAATTCAAGTTAAGGTGGAGATTTGTTGAATGCCTTGAATCGGACCCGCTACAAACAGAAAGGACGGGGATTCTGTATTGGGCCCTTAATTTTCTGTTGATTCTGTATGTTGGGCCCAAGCCTTTTAGGGCGTAGCTTAGCACTATATATATAGACGCTATGGGAAACCCTATTCTGTAATTCTGTTTTTGCCTCTCCATAATAAAACTGCTCCCTCTCTTCCCGTGGACGTAGCCAATTTATTGGTGAACCACGTAAATCTGTTGTCTTGTTTTTCGCGTTTATATTTTCTCGTATTATCTCAAATTCCGCACAACAAAGATGAATGTATGTTGCTTCAAAGTCTAGAATAAAGATGAATGTATGTTGCTTCAGAGTCTATAATCCATGAATATGTCTTATAATGTATGAATGATCAGTATATATAAGAACATATACCGTCAAACATCACTAAAACAGCGTCCTATGTGAATATCTTTTGGCTGCTGTAGCGAAATGTTGTTATGGAGAACATGTAACTATATAAGGCATAATACATAAACAAAACTCAAAATTGTCCTCAACTCGTCTCCATTGTATCAGTTGAACACTCCAACGTACAAAATTATCATCTAGACACCGCCAATATATATGCATAATGTAAGCGTCAAGTGTCCATGAGACACAATGTGGACGGATTGGAGTGTTTAGTTGCAAATCCAGACCAATTTTGAGGTCTCTAGATATGCACTCTCAAAGTTGGAGTGTTTACTTGTCAACTAAGGTCATGTTTGAGTGTTGCTTCTACGTATTATGTCATAATATAACTTAACATGATAAATCGATTCCCAAAAAACTTGGTCATTATAGAGAGGTATAACTGTATAATGAAATGATTTGTGATATGCAGAAGAATTTCGACGGAAAAGCTTCTGCAGAAGGAGACTGATAGATCTGCAATTGCATGAATAAAGACCATACTGTTTCTGGTAATTGGAATAGTAATATTAAGAGCGTAGGGAGTTTCTCCAGAGCGATAAGACTCCCCGTATATTGCAGCCATAATTAAGTAATTGAAAGTGTGTTTCTCTAACGATTTTTACTTTTAGATGAGATGATCACACAATTCACGACAAACATATTAGGTTCAAAATTTGCAACACAGCCTCAGTACATGAACCTAGCAAGATCAAGAAAAACTCAAATCTCCAATCAATAGAACTCAACTGAAAAGCGGAGTCTCGAGTCTAATGAAAACCTCTCTTCTGTAATTCTCATTTCACAATGTTTTTCAAGCACCAACAAGTACATAAAATTATCTACAAACTATGGCAGGACAATCACTCAAAGCAACGCTCTCTATCAAGTAAAAGAATTAAAGCCCCACGGACACACCTCTAACACGAGCCTTATGCACCAGGACATCACAAAAATATGGCATGGACTAACTTCTATAGCTTCAGTTCTAAATCAACATTTCCTCCAACTTCAGTATGAAAGTCACTTCCACGTGTTCCTTCTCGACCTATCTGTGCCTTCGCAGATGGGAAGAATCCGAGGATGGGTTGTTGAACTGATATACTTAGTCCTGAAGCCGGGGTATGCTCTGCAGCTGCAACCTGTAGATTAAACACATTCGGAAGGTAGTGAAGCCGAGTTCAAAGAGCAGAGTATATGAACAAGAATATAAATGCTTTAGTCCTTTTAGTCTCACCCGAGAGGGAACATAGTCGAATAGCTGAAGGCATTGTGGGGCGGAATCAGTTAAAGAACACCGATTTACTTCTCCTAAATGTGGCAATGCTGCTGCTGGAGGAGCTAATCTGAGAAAATCTCCATTGAGAGCTTTACTTTCTCTCAGTGAAATCGATGGTTCGGACTCTGACAAAGCTCTCGACTTTGACACAACTTCTCTGTAAAAAAATCCAAATAACTAATTATCAGGCTTACGAGTATTAAGACTAATCGATTTTCAGGTAAGATATAGAACCTTTTAAGCACATTTCCCTCTTCTACATTAATTGAGCACTCGTTTCTGCTGGAGGCAGATTCGTGTGATCTGGATACAGGGGAAACACAGCACTTTTTGCATTGAAACGAAGGGACATGCGAGTATTCTTGAGAGAACGGATAAGGCCTCTTCACACTCGCCATCTATATTACATCACCAAAAAACCAAACTATAGCTATTCAGAAAAATAGACATCAAATTTATCAAACATAGTATGTACGACAAACAAATTGAAATGGAGGGAGTATTAGTTTGTGGCGACAAAGGGGATTTATTCATTTTTATCAAGCAAACTAATAGAAGTACCTTAACTTCTTCAGGCAAATGATGTAAACATTTACAGCCATAATAACTTTGGTTTGAAGGGGGCTCCATCTGAAAACTTTGTGCAGATGATGATGATGATGAGATATTCACCTAAAATTTCCACAAAAAAAAAAGCAATTCAAACACAAGCCACCAAGAATCTAACCGAGACTTCTGGTTAAGTATATATAAAGAGGTGTTGTCTTGTGCACTAAACTTCTACTACATGCATGGACCGGAACACGGAGGTCTATTATATACAACCTTACCCTGCATTTCTGCAAGAGATTGTTTCCAAATCTATCTTCTGGTTAAGTACGAAGGAATACTTAAAACTCGATGAAGCGGACTTACAATTGATGTAGAAGTAGAAGTTTTCTGATACTGTTGACATCTTTGTTGCAGGACACTAGCAAGATTCAAATTATGCCCAAAAACTAAACCATGATGATCAATTTTTTGACTATACTCACCATTCCACAATTTAGAGGAATTTTCAAGAAAAGGGGTTGATTGATTTGGCGTAAAGACGCAATCTTTCGAAGAAAAATCAATTCTTGATGATGTTGGTATAGATTTTGGGCATTGAATTGTTCGAAAAATTGAATCTTTTTTATGTTGTTCCTCTAATCTAATCCTCTCAAGTTGAGCAACACCAAGTCCTCTTTGTGGGATTTTTTTTTTCTCATTCATCTTTTTTGATGATCTAATATTAGCCATTTTTTTGTTTTTCAACATCAAATATTGATCAAAATTTATAGTAAAGTTAAAAGGGTAGCTATATATGGAAAAAAAATCCATATAATTTTGCAAAGATACAGAAAAATCTGAGTTTTTTTTTTTTTGGGTAAAACCTCAAATGGAAAATATATGGTTTTAGGGGGAAAAAAATTGAATTTTAATCAATTGATTATATTAAATCTTGCAGGTCATGAAGTCAAGATTGTATATTTTTCTAGAATGATGAGAATTTATAATATTTCCGTTTTAATTTATTTGTTTTATTTTTTCTTTTTAATTTGCTTTTTATGGTAATTTTTTTAATTTCAATTTTCTATGTAGTATGTGTAAGACAACAATATTAAAAGAAATTTAATATATTCTATGTATCTTTATAATGTTTGATAATATTTTAATTACAATTTTTTACATAATATGTGTAAGTGAATAATATTAAAACACATTTAGTAATATTTTATATATATTTTTAATTTACGATTATCAGATTCAAAAATCTTATTTATCTGTGTCGAAATGAATTTAAACATAGGAGTATGATTTTTTTTTTAGTAAAAGCCAAAAGGGTAGCTATATATGGAAAGAAAATACATCCAGCACATAGATTATCATTTTCCAAAGATACAGAAAAAAAATGATTTTTTTTTTGGTAAAAACCCAAATGGAAAATTTAAGAGGAATTAAAAAAAAAATCTATGGTTTTAGGGGAATAATAATAATAATAATTGAATTTCAATTTAAATGAAATCTTGCAAGTCAAGATTGGGTATTTAATTATTATGAGAATAATGAACAGTGAATATTTTTTATTTTTTTGATTGTTATAACAATACTATTATAGAAAATATATAATTACATGAGATTTAAAAGATGATGGCAAGGGAAAGTAATAGTGATCTTTCTATAACAAACAATTAATTTATCAAGAAACTTTTTAATTGTTATAGAGAATATATATTTAAAAATCAATTCAAAAAAAGAATTTTACTATTATACTAAAAAATTACTATTATACTAAAAAATTATTGCAAAGAATAATTGTTATAGAAAAGTACTAAAAACACCATATATAGTACGCTGTTTACAGACTACAGAAGACTCTCAATATAATACCCTAATAGACTTAATAAAAAAAATTTAGTGAAAAAATTAAACAAAATCTATATATACCACTAAGACTATATGATTCTATTACGATTAAAATTGATTTTAAAGGAAATTTGGTTGTTATAATAATTATTTTATAATAGCAGTATTTTATAATTCTATATATAGTAAAATATTGTTATAAAAAATATAATATAAAATTATAAATCTATTCCAATAAAATATTATTATGACTATATATTAATAGAAAATCTAGGGGGAAATGTATTTCAATAAATTGATTACATGAAATCTTGCATGTTTTAGAGTCAAATTTTGCCAAATATATGGGAACAATGAATACTACCCATTAATCATAAAAAAAGATTTTGTAACTTAAATGTGATTGATTTGTAGAAATAGGAAAGAAAAATATAATCAAGAACGACAATATTTTTTTTTAAGAAAAAAAAAGAAAATTTTAATTAAGATTTAAACTTTAATGCAAATCTAAAGAAAATTGATGGTCATTTTCAAATATTGTTGACTAAAATGTGGCTATTTTTAAATTTTAAAAAATTGTCTTAATAAGGTTCGTCCAAAAATATACAAATAAAACCTAATCTATGTATATATTATTTTATTTTTTGAAAGGGCATTTGCGACAATATTTATAAAAATAGGAATAGACTTCTCTTTTTGTACTTTTAAGAATATTAATCCATAAAGCAAAAGGCTACAACTCAATCGTCACATAAAAAAAAACATTAAAATCACTATATATATAGTCATTTAAAATTTACGAGGACCATATATAGGTACATAATATCAGTTTTGATCAAAAGCAGATTCAAAATTTACGTATATTTATTGAACTCAACATTTAACTTTTTATCACGTAACTGTTGCATTAATGACGTTATTATACTTTATATGACAATGTTTATTGTATGGAGAGTTTAAGAAAGAAAGAGAGAACATTGGCACGCATACTTTAGTATACGTAAAACTTGTGATCTTACACATGTCATGACATATTTCAATCAAAGTAAAAAGTGATCGACATTGAAAAGCAAATGAAAAGGTTACAGTTAATTAGCTAGTTACCAAATACAGAGAACCGTCCTTCTAATCTAGAAAACATTGAAAAACATGTCCCTTCTTTCTTTGAAAACTACATGCCCTAATGATGTCTAGGGTCAGGTCCTCCAGGACTTAACCGTTTCACGTTATATTTGATTGTATATCTTAATCTTTCCTTAATAATTTGTCGAGCGGTTTCCATCATCGTTATCGTTTCCCCTCTCCTCCGCGAAGATTGCCCGAGCGGACGACTTTCGGAGGGAGGACATGAAAGCAAGATAATAAGAATCAAGCATAACAAAAACCTAAACTTAGCCATTCTTGAAGATAGAGTTATTTTAATTTGCAAGATAACCTTGTAGGTAACTAATTTGCATGAATTAGTGTGTTATAGGTCTCTATTGAGATGTTTGGGGTTTATATAGGCCATTATGATCCTAATTAATTATATTTAATTAAGGAGGGGCATGAATTAACATTAAGTATGCGGCGAAGATGAAAAATGCCACTTAATTAGGTCATCACTACACTTCAACCACTACCTCTGTTCTATTTTACTTGTCACGTTTTTATATTATTCGAGTTAATTTGTCTATTTCTCAAAAATTAGAATTATTATATTGAAAAAACTATACAAAAAGCAGTATTAAAAATTAAAAACTTTCTCATATCAATATGATAAAAAAAATGTATATATTTAAAAATATCGATAATTGAAATTCATATCATTTAACTATAAAAAAAATATGACAAGTATTTTGAAACAGATGGAGTAGATAGTATCATTTAGGTATCAAAGTAGATTTTATATATTGCTAATTTGTTATCTCTTTTTAATTTTTTTCCGTCTTATTTTTATGCATGTCGATCATAATTTTTGTGAGTCGAGAGTCTAATCGAAATAATCTTTTAATCTATCTCATACTGGTAGAGATAAAGGTCTATAAATATTTTATCCTTCTCAAATTTTACTTGTTGCATTATACTGAATATTTTCTCTCTCTCCCTCTCTCTCTCTCTATATATATATATTCTTGATGCACCTTGTTTTTTGTTTTTGTTTTTAGTCGATGGTCATTATCACACAGTGAACCAATGCATCTCAAGATTTGTGATGATATAATCATTCATTGCCAAAGGATAATATATATATATACACCTAAGCAATACCACAAACAAAAATTCTTACAAGACGATTTTTAAAAAAAATAAATACATTATTTTGTTTTATATTTATAGTGGCCGCTTCATTCTCCTAACTCCTTCCACTTCTCTCACTATAAATCATAAAAACTACGTCTTGACCTAATTGGTTTCAACGAAGAAATACGTTTATAGGACTTTTCCATCGAGGGAGCATAGATAATGAAAGGTTATAGTTCCGGTCTTTTGCAATGTTGAAAGCTAGCAAAGTTATATAATTTTTCGATAAAAAATGTTTAACCGAATGTTCCTCATAGTATGTGGCTTAGCCACTATACATAATATATATATATATATATATATATTTCCCCATTGAGGTTCTGAAAGGTCACTGTTCCTATCTTAGCTCCTTGTCTTCACCAAATATTTATATAAAATTTGTTGAATTAAAGCTTACCTAAGCCTAGATTCCTTTAGGATTGGCAATTCATTGTTTTTTTTTTTTTTCAAATCTTGCTATTCGTTTAATTTATATAATTCACCTAATTATATAAAGCAGAATATTATATAATTCGATTTTTCATTATATGAATTCAAGATTTGTGTATGTTTAATTATCCTAGCTATTTTTATACGATATAAATATAGTTCACAATAAATTATTCAGTTTGTATATTGGCAACTGTAATATATATACAAACCGCAATCAACATAGCAAATAAAACTATAGCTACAAAGCGCAATTATAAAAACTATAATTACATAGCCTTATTATGACTGTTATTTTTGAAAAAAGAAATCATAATAAAATAAAATAATATAGGGTGATTCTATTATCCAATATCAATGTTTTTTAATTGGAAACTATTTTTTCCATTAATTATTGCTTTCATTTTCGTGGTGCCCCTTCCTTATATATAAACCTAATATATTATTTAGCATTAACTTCTAACTTGTATATACTTAAATTGTTTTTTTGAAAAAAAAGTATAATTAATTGAAGTAGAATATTACTAGTGAAATTGCTTTATACATTACGAAATGTATCAAAACCCTAAATAATAATTAAAAGAAATATAGGGGGGAGGAGTGATGTATTTTAGGATTAAATTTCATAATCAAATAAATCTCGTATAATCCTAAAAGTAAAAGTAGCATTTTTATGGGTTTAACAAAAAGAAAAATTTTAAAAAATTCTTCTACTAATGCATAACTTTTTTTTATTGACATGCATGTTAGAGAAAATAATTCATAAAAAAAATGAAATTATTGATGCATGTCTTTTTCATAGAAAAAAAAATGTGTGATTCAATAGAATCACAAGTGATCATTAATTATCTTTATAGTGGAATAAATTTACAAATAAATATTTAAAAGTATCAAAAGAATTTTTTGTGATTATTTCTAGTACAAAATGAGTCAATCATCCACTCTGATATCTTATTAATTAGTAAAATTATTCTTCTATTAATTAATAATTTTAATTTTTTAAGAGTATCACGATTATCCAATATAAATAACTTGTAAGGTTAACCATATCATCCTTCATCATAAATCATAATGTTGTATGGCTCTTAAATTACTTTTATAACTAAAATTAAAATAAAAAATTTAAAGTTGACAAGTAATTAGCGAGACTTGATCAAGTGGTTCAATATCTCCATCATCAATCGATGGATTAAAAATTCAAATTACGCGGAAAAAAATGAGAAAATTGTTAATCTTCTTTAGGACTGGATGAAGATTTAAAAAAGACAAAAAAAAAAGAGAGAGAAGAAAATCTA